GGCCTTGAAATACAAAGTCCTTCTTTTTGTGTAATCCATCTTACATATCCCCAGTCCCATCCAGCAAGAAAAGGGAAACCATCTCTCTTTTTTGAAATCCTCACCCAGGACATGCTTTTATTGTTTTTTAGGGAGGGAGGGAGGGGAAGAGAAAAATGTCAACGTGAGAGTGAAACTTCAATTTGCCTCTCACACATGCCCTGACTGGGAATCAACCCACGACCTTTCAGTGTACGCTCCAACCAACTGGGCCACACGGTCCGGGCCCGTTTCCCAGCTCTTGAGTAGGCCCTTAATCACCAAGAGGAAATGGGAAGCTGGAACTGCCTGTCAGCTTGATAAGAAACGAGGCCAGCCGAAACCGGTTTGGCTCAGTGGATAGAGCGTCGGCCTGCGGACTGAAGGGTCCCAGGTTCAATTCCGGTCAAGGGCATGTACCTGGGTTGCGGGCACATCCCCAGTAGGAGATGTGCAGGAGGCAGCTGATCGATGTTTCTCTCTCATCGATGTTTCTAACTCTCTATCTCTCTCCCTTCCTCTCTGTAAGAAATCAATAAAATATATTTTAAAAAAAAAGAAACGAGGCCAATTTAAGGAAAAGGAGCCACCATCCTGTGAGCTTGAAGGAATCCCCCTCTCGAACACACACATACTCAGGACCGTAGGGAGGAGGGAGAGAATCAAAGAGGAGGTAATTTCTCTTTTTGGGGTGAAAGGGACCCAGGCAGCACAGTACGAGCTGGGGTGAAGATGACAGAGGAGCCACACGGACGCCCCTGAATTCTGTAAACTACCCCTCCGCCCCTTGTCCCTAAGGATGTCTGAGTGCATGAAGCCTTCTCACCAACCTCCTTCTTTCTAACTTCTCTTCCTTTTTGAACAGCATTCTGGGAGACGAAGTCATTGGCATCTGGCCGCGGAATGCAGACAAGGCTGACGTTAACTGCGCGTGTGTGACCCATGCTGGCCTGAACATTGTCACAGGAGATGACTTTGGGCTGGTGAAGCTCTTTGATTTCCCATGCACGGAGAAATTTGTGAGTCTGCCGTAGAGTAACCTGCCCGCACTGCCTCCATGCTCTGTGCGCTGTGCCACATCGACATGGCCATCTGGAATCTAGAACAAGAGGCATCTGGTTCCAGCCCTGCGGAAGTTGGGGAACCCCTAACCTGAAGCTGGGAGAAGGGAGGGTGGGGGTGGGCAAAATGGCCGTGAGGCAAGAACGAGACAGGAAAGCCTGTGATAGGCTGGCTAACAGGTGTCCCACCAAATGGGACTCTGCTGAGTGAAGGAAGGTTCTGGGAAGAGGGGACTTAAGTCTGTCAAGGGAAGTGGCTGTGGTTCCTGGAAGGAGGAGGGTTGCTCAGTGTCTCTGCTCACTTTTGCTCACAGGCCAAACATAAGCGCTACTTTGGTCACTCGGCTCACGTGACGAACATCCGTTTCTCCCACGACGACAAGTATGTGGTCAGCACTGGAGGAGACGACTGCAGGTAGGTACCCACCTGACTCATCCGGCGGATAGCCCAGCCTGCTCTGCACTCTCTCCCCTGCTGCACCTCAGGCTTCCTGGGAGTCAGGCCCTCCCAGGGGCATGGGGAGGAGCTGAGGGGGTAGGAAATGGGGCATTCAGTGAGTCCTCATGAAGACAGGATTTTCCAAGGATAAGGTATTTAGTGTCTGGTGACTCCCAACCTAAATCTTAATGGGACTATGTGAGCATGGTGAGAAGCCTAGGGCATGTGATCACTCCTCTGAGCACTGCTGGATGGAGGGACAGGTGGGTGAGAGGCCGATTTTAGTAGGAGCTCTTGGGTAGTCCATAGCGTCATTACCTATAACCAGGTTAGGTTGACCTTGATCCATAGGTCTTTTAACTCTAAGCTCCAATTAATCACCAGAATTCTTAAGATCAATGATTAGCCACAACCAAAAGAGGTCTGAAAACAGTAATACTGAGCCTCAGCCACCCTGAGAAACAAGCAGGGCAAGTGTTACTCAATGTTGCACAAGAGATCAGATGAGAGGCGCACCCTTTGGGCCCGGTGCTAGTTAGCAGCAGAACCTCCACCAGCTGTTTGGACCATGAGCCAGGGCTGCTTTCGGCCTTCACGGCAATGGGCACACTGTTCTGTGAGCTGTGACTGGGCTTTCAGGCTTTTCGGAAGCACCCGTACCAGCCTGCTCTAGAGATGGCATCAGCCTCCTCTGCACCTGGGGCAGCATCTTCTGTCCCTCCACCCAGGCCAGCGACCTGTCTGGCGTGGGGGGGACCAGGGCGAGCTCATCTAAGTCACTCCTCTTCTCACTGTTGAAGGGCTTTGCTGTAACACTGGGCAAAACTCTTTAGGGGGTGAACAGTGGGGGACGAAGAAGAAATGCATGCATTCCAGGTATTTTTTAAGTGGTCCGAGTGAGGTTGTGGACAAGGCACCATAGAGAATTTCAACTCACTTCCTACCGAAAAGCGTTGTTTAGAAAACAGCCCCAAAGAAAGCTTTCTGAGGACCTTCCTGGGAGCACCCACCTCCTGTCTGCTGTGCCAACTGCTCCCGGCACTTAGAGCCCTTGAGATAGTTCTGACAGCAGCTCCGGTGGAGGGTAAACACCCATTCAAAGCAGCACCAAGCAGCAACGGCCAAACCGCAAACAAGCCAGCAATAGGAGACAGAAGAGAATCGGTCACCCAGGGCAGGAGATGCAGAGAGATGTGAGTGACTTTTGATTGCTACGAAAGGCTTAGCAGTAACCTTTAAGATGCAAGGCCCCGAGGCCGTGTAGCCAGGGGAGCATGCTGTGATCCCTGGCTCGGTGCTGAACACTAGAAGGGCTCTCCTACTCAAGTGGAGCTGATAAGGCCTTTCAACAGTAACAAGAGAGATAGTGTGAAGTCAAATTGCCCAAAGTCCTCATGTTCAGCACAGTCTGGCTGCTGAGAGAGCCAGAAAAAAACACACAAAACCTTTAATAATAATAATTTTTTAAAAAAAGCAATCTTTAATTGGCGGCAAGATCCCAGGTTCATGGTTTTTGTTCCCCAAACTGACATGCTCTGCATCACCTGCGCTGGACTCGGGAGCCCCTGGAAAGATGGTTTTTCTCAGTTGATAAAGTATGATGTCCACCAGGCACAATGGCTGTTTGCTGTGCCTTTTCAGTATATTTGTGTGGCGATGTCTGTAAAGGCCAGAAACCTCTCCCTTTATTGCTGCTGCTGCTCCCACCCAGCACCTGCAGAGGCAGCGACGAGGCGCCCAGCGGCTGGGCAATGCCTCCAGCGCTGCAGGCCCACCAGCTCCGCCAGAGAAGTGCTAAGACTGCACTCGGGGGTCTCCAAAACCGAGATGCCAAGAAGGAAGGTCAGTTCTAACATGTTAAAGACTGCTTGCCTCTGTTCCTGAGACTAAAAACTCTATGTACTAACAACATTGACAAAACATCCTGACAATGTAGCCCACTGACAAAATTGAAAGCCTCAGTTACCCTAACCAATATGTAGCTTTTAATTTGCATCAAAACTTTTGCAAAAGATGTTTTGTTGTTTCTATATTCTTTAAAAATTGTTCATTTTTTTACAAATAAGTTAAGACAGCTTAAGGTAGATGGACCGAAGTCCTAGAACTATCGATAGCCTCTGTTCTCCGCATTTAGCTTTCAAAGCCAAATGAGCCATGTATAAACGAGTTGAGAAACTTAATTTTTTAACGTTTTGTTTGCAGAGTTTTCTATCCATTAAGTGCCTTTGAAAGTTTCCAGTTGTGTGGGCTGCTGTCTCACCTCTCACAAATGATCTCCTTTCTACATCAGGTGCTAACACTTCCAAACTGAGGAGGGCTACTTAGGAGTTTCCTGGTCTGTCGCCCATGTCACGTGTTTGTGTCCAGGCTTCCCAAAGGAAGGGCATCAGTTCCCTGCTGGGGAAATAGTGACTGTAGGAAGGTGAGCAACAGAGAAATAAATCCAGGCGGGAGGGAGTAGGATGAGTGTTCATTATGTTTAGTGCCAAATCCAAAATAGAAGCAAAAAAAAGCTCACCCGGTTCCAGGAGGATGAGCTGATTTATCTTGTTAAATGTAAAATGGGAACAAATGAGGTGATCTGAGGCTGACTGGACACCACTGATTTGCTTCTGAATTTATATATAATCTGCAGAACAAATCCCTAAACTCAATATTTGATAAAACAATCTAGCTTAGCGTTCCTCAGAGTGGGTTGGCTAACAGAATGTGACTTGGACAATCTTACCCAGAAGACAGCTCCAAACCACCTCAATTATACTTGACGCTCAGCCACGCACTGACAGGAGGGACTGAGGGCAGGCACTGGTGACTCTGAGCACATATATACCAGTGAGTCCTTGCGGTCAGTGAACTAAATTTTGGATCTTAAGTTACTGGCTAGTTGCAGTTGTCAGTCTAGAGAAAAGGTGAAATGAAGCAGTTTCAGTGAACTAGATTAGCATTTACCACAGAAGTGCTTCAGCATTCTAAATGGATTAGGTCATTCATTAAGCTATTTTTATATGCCAATTTATTAATGCCTTACATTAATCCACTGATAGGTTGATGGGCCCAGTTAGAGTCCCTCTGCAGTCCTAATTGTTGTCTGTAACCATGTGACTGGTGATGCTGAGTGATAACCATGTCTGCCTATATTGTACCACTGACCTTTCATATGATTGAATCTTGCATAGAAATACTGGTATGTACAACTATATTTACAGAGCAATAGTGTCTGTGTATCAAGAAAACTTCTAGTAAACATTTATATGGTATGATTTTATGTATGTTCATAAATCCTGCGCTGTATTCTCTGTTAAAATAATTGGTGCATGAATTTATTTTCAGTTATCAAAGTATAAAAAAAATTTAGACATTTTGGTGTGTGTCAGATTTGATTCAGTAAACACAGCTGCACAATAAGCGGAAACAAAGTCTATTCCCCCTTTGTGTGTACTTTTCACCTGCTATAGTTTCATGAAACCAAAATACCAAACATATTTTAAGTCTATCAGCTTTATTGATACTTCGCTTTTACAGTTCACAAGGCATTCCACGATTTAGTTCAGTACAGCTTAAACCACAACTGTATAAATCTTCATAATTTCTTGCACAACAATGTTTGATATTTGCAAACAACATTTTTGGAAGCATTAGATTCAGTCCATAGATTCAGAGTTTGTGACAAAATTAACTACGGTAAGTCTGTGTGATGAAGTTTATATGGTGAGTTCTATGTGCATGGATGGCATCCTTGCATGTTGAAAACAGATGGTAGTGCGCCTAGAAATATATTTTCTTCTGCTTATGTATTTGAAACTACACATGTATGATCAATGACTCTGAAATATCAAGCACTGTGGGGAAGCTGGAAGGTAAAGGTCTAAGCTTTGTGAAACACTATATATATAGATATATATATATAATCTATATTTACTTATATTGGCAATTAATATAACAGTAAAATTCACAATACACCTAGAACATACCAGAAAGGCAAGCTTTTCCACTCCTGCATTAGTGGTATGATCTCGTCTAAACATTTTGTTTCAGAAAATCTGCATCAATCTACACAGACCATACACACACAGTGCACAAACTGTGAAAAGGGTTTTTTTTTTTCAGCTTCATGTTCTCTGCAATTCCTCAAATACAGCAAGACTACCTGCAACAAAGTATAATATACAGCTTTCTCAGATCTTTTTCATTCACCGGTGCCTCGGATAGGAAAAACAAGTATGACCACGGTTTAAATCCATACATAGCAGCTCACAATACTTAAGATGATGAACACGCGGCAGCCAAGAAGGTGATTTTTCCTCAGACACTGCATTGCTAAAAATAAAGATCTGTGACACTGCAATGTCAAGGCGCCATTCTTCCCTGACCCTCCCCCATGGAATCAAATGTATATCCCCTTTAAAGATAAACTCCTACTGTGAATCATTTCAGGCTTTTTTTCATTCAGCTTTGCGTTTCAATCCAGGGATTTTTGCTTGGATTCTACAAATGAAAAGGGGGGAGAAAGGTCAATGTAAAAATGTTTTAAGTATTTTGTTTTCTGCTTCTTAAAAGGCTTTCCTTCAAGAATGACTTGTTATAGTTTAGCTTAAACAAGAAATGAAATCCTAAGGCTGTCAAGCTACGATTTTCACTGCCATGGCCTCATGAATTACTTTTAAACAAAGCCTTAAGTAAAATTATTAATGTAGAAATAATACCCAACAGTTAGAAAAAAATCTTTTGGCAACTGTGTCACACTGTAGTTCTGATGGAGATTTGCTACTGCACTGTTCTCAAAGTCCAGTACACCTTATCCTTGGTAAAAAAAAGTTGCAGATTTTAAATACTTACTTAGCCATAGCATCTTTGACATTCTTATTTGCAAGTGCTAGATAATGATCTATCTGCGCCTGAAGAGAAGGATAGGGGAGATATCAGAACATTTCCATTGCTAAAGAATCTGATTAACTGTTACTATGACCCAACAAATTAAAGGCATAAACAACCACCTTATCGCTCACTTGTATAAGACTTTGGAAACTGGCACTGTGATACATTTGTAAGTTCCACATAATAAAGTGAGCTCTGTATTCTGAAATTCAGTCAAATTACCTGATGCCGCTCATAAATAACAGGAACGCTGAAGAGTGAAATCAGAGCTGAAAAGGAAATACACAACCTTTAAAATAGACTGGTATGATTTAGGGGACAAACACTGAAAAGCCATCAAACCCGCAACACTCCTAAGCAGGCCAGGCTCTCCTGGGTGCCCCTGCGGGGAGGGGGGGGGGGGGGGGGGGGCCACGCCAGGGCAATGAATTAACCAAGGAGGCTGCAAGAACCACTCCTGGCTCCCAATCATGCCACACAGACTTTATAAAATACAGGCAAGGCCACCTTGCCCTGCTTTGTCACTGTGAGCAGAGCAGTCTTTGGGAATTAAAGTAGCATGTCAATAAATAGTATCAGCAATTTATTTAAAGAGGTCACAACCTCAAACATACCTCCTCTATTTTTCCCACAATATAAGAATATTCTCATAAAATCTCTAATCTCCTTATACACACTTCTTTCCCCCTGCAATTTTTCATTCCAATGCTTTTGTAGACTTACCCAAAATCAGTAGTGTCAGACCATTGAACAAGGCTCCAACATAGGTAAATACCCACATCAACACTGCAAACTATAAGAAAATAATGTTAGCCTATTAAAAACTAAATTAAGCTTCAAATAAAAGCATCCCACGTAAATGCCAAACTAGTAGAGGCATAGTCCTTGGAGACTTGGTATAGTAACATGGATATTTTAGAATCCTAATTAAAATAGATTTGATTCATTTTCTCTGGACTATACTACCAAGTAGTCGATTCTGTTTTCTCTGAAATCAGAAAACATGCCAAAGCTATACCATAGTAACTCCAGTTCTAAGACAGAATTTATCTTTTAAATGGGAAGACTGAAAAAGTACTGTGAAAATTCACTATTAAAACTGATTTTAAGTACTAACAAATTAAGTGCTTTTAGATCTTCATGAGCTGAGTAATTCAGACATTGACAGGTCAGACATCTGAGTGAGTAACAGAAGGGCAGGGAGGACTTATCAAACAGATTAAGTTCCAGGTACCAAAAATATCACCTCAGAGGCCCTGTTTGCCCAGGGATGCATGTTTTAACAGCCATCGTTAACCCAGCTCTCTGTCACATATTCTTTGAATATTATCCTTTAAAAATGTAAAAAACATTCTTAGTTCCCAGGCTGTACAAAACAGGCCGTGGTCCAGATAGTTTGCCACCCTCTTGGTCTTTCTACATGCAACAAAATCTCACTGAGTGCCTACTATGAGCTGGGTACTGGGCAGTAATTATGGTGATCAAGCTGTAGTAAGCTTCTTTACTACAGGCTAGGACAGTGATGGCGAACCTTTTGAGCTCGGCGTGTCAGCATTTTGAAAAACCCTAACTTTGGTGCCGTGTCACATATAGAAATTTTTTGGTATTTGCAACCAGACTTATATTTTTGATATTTACTTTATATATTTAAATGCCATTTAACAAAGAAAAATCAACCCAAAAAAAATGAGTTCGCGTGTCACCTCTGACACGCGTGTCAGGTCTGCCATCACTGGGCTAGGAGGACACTCTGGATTCCCCCACCATCAGTTCTACAAATAGCAACACTGATCACCCCTACAGCTGAATTTTAATTGTTCAAGCAAACAAACACCTGTCAATTGAAAATCAAAAATTAAATGCGGCCCTGGTCTTAGCAACTCCTATGGAACCGCTGGTAAAGGTCTGAAGCATGACTCTAGTTAGCAAGCCTCCCCCCAACCCCCTAGTTTTACAAACTCCTATTGCAGAAGCTAAATATAATTTCTGCACTTGAGCAAGTTTACTATAGAGGAACAGGGCTATTTTCCTCCATTACCACTTACAAGTCTAAAGGGAAAAGAGTCCACCTGCCACATTTTAGAAGAAATTGCTTTGGCAATAAAGGCACCCTATATGACAGAATTCAGATACTAACAGACACACGATAAAAATAAGTCCTAATTTGGTCACTGGCAAGGTGTCCCACTCCAAGCCCACAAGGAGAGAAGCCTGAAACTTCACACCTACGCTACCTAAGGGACTCAAGGGTCACTGCACTTGCCTCTTGGAGGACACTCCCTAAAGCCAGGCTTCTCCAGGGGGAGGCTTCAAGTGTCTGCAGGGGAGGACTGAGGCAAACAAATGCATGCATTCTCCCTCTCCAGGAGGTACCCGCAGCCCAGCTCCACTGATGGTTGCCATGCAATTATTGCAGGCCAATGTAACCAAATTTCCCCATTTTAAGAGAAAAAACAAATTCACATCTTTAAATGCTATCACAGAATATTTAAATGTTGCAGCTAAGTTTGAAGAAAATGTGACACTTCAGACGCCTAAAACAAAAATACTGGGCTAAGGGTTGCATGGAGTACACTCTGCCCAAAGAGAAAGGAGTGATGGTAAGAACTAGCATCCAGCAAATACACAATTATTGTAACTGTTATATAACAAAACAGCAACTACCACTGTTTTAACTTACATTAGGTTAGTTAATCTCATCAAAAGTTATACGCTATTGTTATCCCTACAGTGGAGGAAACCAAGAGGCAAGTTGCCAGACCAGGATTGCAGTGATCTCAGGTTTACCTGACTCCAGAATCTATCTGCTCTGCTATACCATGAAACCACCTAGAGCAGTGGTCGGCAAACTGCGGCTCGCGAGCCACATGCGGCTCTTTGGCCCCTTGAGTGTGGCTCTTCCACAAAATACCGACTTCTGTGCACGGGCCACGAAGTTTCAATCGCACTGTACATGCGCGCCTGCACGTGGTATTTTGTGGAAGAGCCACACTCAAGGGGCCAAAGAGCCGCATGTGGCTCACGAGCCGCAGTTTGCTGACCACTGACGTAGAGTAACCATTATACATGGGAATTCATCATGAGTACGCACGCTTTATAAAGAGGCAGAAGAAGGTCAATAAACACGTGCAAATACTTTGCAACATTACAGCCAATGCAAATAAACCATGGGAGTCAAAGTTCAATTCTTTGGGCAGCAATGAAACTGGAGGAAAGAGGGACAAAGTCCAGTGAAGCTCTAACAAATACTTGATGAAAGAGGACAAGGGCCATGTCTTGTTTGTCTTTTGTCCAGGGAAATGAGGTTTGACTGTGTATCACATACCTCATTAAAAAGTTCTACAGATTTTTATTAGATGACGTCTCAATAGGGGTGGAGGGTGCATTTTTAAAGAAAATGAAGGGAGGGTACTTAACAGAATTTCAGAAACGACTTTGGCAATTCTGACATTTTTAAACTTTTTCTGCATTTTTAAGCACTTTGACCTCTTTTGACATCTTCAGCCTCATTCATCAGTATCACTTTGACTGTCTCCACATTTCCTGCAGCCCATTTCCCTTCTAATATTTCTGTGAGCCAAAGAAACCAGAAAGGAAACTATCAAAATGTGTATGTTAATAACTTAAGAGCCCGGGGGCTAGATTTTAATGTTCTTTTGGGTCAGCTATTTCTGGAGTTCAGGCTTTTTCCCCCTCACTTTTAGATTTAAGATTGTATTCTGGAACATTATGGTTTGGCTAATGTTCAGGCAACTATAGCTAGAAATGTTCTTACAATTTTAGCATATATTTTCACTGAAAATCACAAGACTGCTGTTGTACAGAATCTGGCCTTTACCACCCAAAGCCATGTGACAGAAAAATAAGAACCTTTGCCTAAAACATCTGGTCTTAGTATCTAATAAATAAAATTAGACTTTTTCTTGGGACTTGAGGTTTCAAAAGTCAAAAACCTTCTAATTAAACTCAAAGCCTTACTCAAAAAGCCCCAAAGCTGAGCCCAGCAGGGATGTCATATGCTTTTCTTCTATAGCAGGGGTTGGGTTGGGAGTGGGGAGAAACTATAACCCAGGGTTTTACCACTTAATGCCACAACTTTTAAAAAAAATATATCTTTACTGATTTCAGAGAGGAAGGGAGAGAGAGAGATAGAAACATCAATGATGAGAAAGCATCATTGATTGGCTGCCTCCTGCATGTCCTCTACTGGGGATCAAGCCTGCAACCCAGGCATGTACCCTTGACTGGAACTGAACCTGGGACCCTTCAATCCATAGGGTGACGCTCTATCCACTGAGCCAAACCAGCTAGGACAATGCCATAACTTTTAAAAACAGTAATTCTCCAGGCAGTACCCACAGATAAATTAAATCACAATTTCATGGGTTGGAACCCCTCACCCTCCATTCCCAGGTAAAAATTTTAGCACCTAGAGGTCCTAGATGTTTCCAATGTGCAGCAAAGATTGAGTGAGGACCGTTTTAAAACAAGAACCATTATCAACGATCCCTTATACAAAAGGTCAATCACAGAAATGGAAGTAAACCTTATCTAGGTGGTTTAAATTTGTTCAAGTATCTTATATTAGTTTTCCAGTACTAATGGGTGTTAATTTAAACAAGGCTGACAAATACTAGGTTAAATAAATCTATCCAGCCTCTGACTCCTCAGGTACTAATAAACTAACATATATTAGACTCCAAGAAAAGGATACATAGACAGCTTTCACAACCTAATCTTACTAGAGAACAATCCTCCTTTACTTCGCCTTTCGTTCATCTCCTTCCCTCACCTTATATCTGGCATCCAACTGAACAAACCCACTTTACGAAATACAACTTTTAAAACAAAGCCGGTGGACTGGTCAAAACATTAAGCTGTGATGAAATTTTATACTAATTTTTGAAATAAGTTCTACTAAATGGAATTACAACTATTTTGTCAATGATTTTCCAATAATAGTTGCCTAGAATTAATCCTTTGAGAAATGGATTGTTGCTCCATCTATGGACGCTTGAAATATTTTCTAAGAATTAGAATTTTATAATTGCAATGGAGCAGAACAAATGGGATGATCATACAGAATTTAAAAGGAGAGATGCGCAGAACACATTTTTATTTGTCCAAGTCATCCACCAGAGGAGACCTAGACCAGGCCCAATGATAACCACTGTCTCACATCAGGTCTATTTCATAAGCTCTAATGAACCCTGAAGTTTGGTCATTTCTTCCATCACATTTGAAAGATAGGTTCCTCCCTCACACTGCCCCAAGAAGGTAATAAGCAAGAAGAAGGAAAAGTTTTGTGTGCTAACAATAGTGGCTCTAAAATTTTCAATTTCTGAGAAAGAAGGTTTCAAATAGAAGTAGTGGTAATTGTGACCCAGAATCTAGAAATGTAGATTATGTGAATTTAAAGGGCACCAAACATTTAAGAAGACAATGAATTAGAGGAAACTCTTAAATTTCTGTTTAGAAGCTATTACTTTAAATGAGCCACAGAGATTGATGCAATGTCTATTTTTCTAAATTAAAAAAAAATTATAAATGAAGACTAATTGCCACTGTATTTTCTTGAAATTAAGGTGGTTTCCATTTTCCCAGCTATGAATCATTTAAAATCAAAGTAATTCCAATAAAAAGCAGGTTCCTAAAAATTAAAGAAACTGAGTGTTCCACAAATTCATCTGGTAACTGGAGAGATGGGGGTTATTAGTAAACTTTCCACAGATTTAAAATCTGAATACAAGGAAATAAATCAAGGCAAATCCAACTTTCCTTTACATTGAAAAGGTAAAAACAATGAGAACTTAAAAAAACCATTTTTTTTTTGCTTGCTTTTGGGAGAGAAAATATGACTCCTACCATCTTCTGTGGCTAAAAGACACATAGCAATAAAGCTTAAAAAATCACTTTCTTTAAAAAAAAAATGCTCTCTATATAAAGTGAGTGAAAATTGCTCAAGGAATTCTCGCTAGAAAGACAATAATGTTAAGTCATTTTTATGAAGAGTCCAAGAGCACTAAGTTTTTTTTATCAGCTTTTTTCAATAAGAGACATTTTGAGCAAGTATTCTGTGTTCTCTAGTCGCCTTATTGAGTGGAAGCAAACAGATGGAATTGTACTCCTCACACATAACGACATTAAGAAAACATTCATCTCTGCCTGTGTAGGAATGTACTGTGGTGGTACACCCCACGCAGCAGGAACCACAAGGTTGATGAAGGACAGACCCTTCGGGTATATTATCAGAGTGTGAACTCAGCACCTTTGCATCTGGAGAAAAAGATCCCCTGCCTTATTCTTTTGCCTCAATAGGTTTTGAGACCTAAATATGAAGATCAACACTATGGTGATTATAAGCGGGAAAGTGGGTTGGGGGAGTAAGAATAGGGCAGGGGTCCTCAAACTACGGCCCGCGGGCCACATGCAAATACAAATATTGTATTTGTTCCCGTTTTGTTTTTTTACTTCAAAATAAGATATGTGCAGTGTGCATAGGAATTTGTTCATAGTTTTTTTTTAAACTATAGTCCGGCCCTCCAACAGTCTGAGGGACAGTGAACTGGCCCCGTTTAAAAAGTTTGAGGACCCCTGGAATAGGGTATAAGGGGGGGATAAACAGTGAGGGAAGGACATTTGACTTGGGGTGGTGAACACACAATTCAATATAGAGAGAGTGAATTACAGAAATGTATACCCGAAACCTATATAATTTTATTAACCAATGTCACCCCAATAAAATTCAATGCAAAATTTTTTAAAAAGCAAAGTTCATTCTATGTGCTAATAAATTGAAACAACTATTACTTATTTGGAGGCCTAAAAGAATCGCCTTCTGGGGAAGTTACCAAGCAGCTTTCCTTGAGCTCTGGACTTGCCAAATACTGCTACTCAGTAAAGTCATTCATATAAATTTCTTCTTTTACTTTTTCTTTTCAAAAGTACTGCTAACCCTTAAGGAGAAAAAGTAGTAAACTATAATTTCAATGGAAGTCTTTTTTCCCCAGTATTAAGAAACAAAGAGCCTGGCTGGTGTGGCTCAGTGGTTGAGCACCAACCCAAGAACAAAGAGGTCACGGTTCGATTCCTGGTCAGGGCACACGCCTGGGTTGTGGGCTCGGCCCCCAGTGCGGGGAGAGTAGGAGGTAGCAGATCAACGATTCTCTCTCATCATTGATGTTTCTATCTCTCCCCCTCTCCCTTCCTCTCTGAAATCAATAAAAAAAAACCCCACGATCTTTTTAATTTACAGACTGACATCAAAGCACTACTACAAATAAGCACCAAATGCAAGCACTCTATACACAAGAAGTAAGAAAAGGAAAAGTAAATTATTACTATCAATCTTATTAGTAACTAAGTGGGGCTCTAAGTCTTATACTGAGAGAGGCATACAGCTGAAAATAAAGTCTATCCATTGGCTTATTAAGGCTAAGATGTTTGTTAAAAGCAATTTGGGCATTTAAACCTATTCTGGCCAGCCCAGAAATAGTTTCACTGGGCCTGAAGGCCCAAGCATCCTATTGCTGTGATATCCTTGACTTGCATGATAAATTGCAAACCAGTGCATTAATTACTCTTGGAAAAGAAAAATGATGATAGTTACCACCACAGTGCATTTCTACACAGGCTTACTAGTAGATTGGAAACAAGTCTGTCTCTGAAGCAGAGTTGCAAGCAGTAACACAAAACACAATGGCAAGTTCTACATAAAGAAGTGCAAATGTCCCCAAGGCCCCAGTGCTAGGGCTCATGTTACATGACTGTTTAGTGGTTTTAGTCCGTCTGAACCTTGGGAGAGTTCACTTGCAAGGTGAGACTGTAACAGCTGCTATGTAGCAAGATCCCAACTCTAAAGAAAATCTTTACAATTACCAGCTGAAGATTAGTTGAGGTGTTTCAGAATATTCAAGCTCTTGCAGTATAAACATGCCAAGAAAGAGTCCAAGATAGGAAATAGCTTACGTGTGCATATGAATCACACACAAGCTAAGAAATTTAAAATTTGTGCATATGAATCACACACAAGTCTAAAACAAAATCAAAACAGATTAAGGCACATCTGGCATTAAATCTATTAATCTTTATCCTTACTGTCAAAATTCCCTTTAATTCTTATGGATTTATAACTTTTTTTTTTTTTAAAGGCAAAGTACTTTTCCTTCATCTCAAATAGCTGATTGGATTCTGAATTCTGATACCCAAGTTTACTATAACATGATTTCATTATGTCTTTATCATTTACCTTAATATAGAAAAATAGAATGACACTCCTAACTCTTTTGATATTAAATTCTGGATATGTCAAAAATGAAAAGCAAATAAACTTACCTTCAGAGAATCAACTAAATCATCAACTAAGAAGAGGCGTCTGAGTTCCTTTATCGTGCAGTTCACATGTCCAAGAGCAGAATTACTGTATTTCTGCACCAACTCCTCGGATATGGCGACATCAGATTCCAAATATGCCCTAGGGAACAAAACACACCATAATTGTCACTGGGGTGATTCTCCCTGGATGTCTGCATCCAGCAATTACATATCTGTAAAAGAAGACATTAATAAAATATCTCACTATAAAACGCCTTCTGTTTCCAAATTAAGCACAATGTAGAAATTCACCAAGCAAGGGGTATTTCATTGATATACGGTGTCAGCTGACGAGCATAGAAAAAAGGATATGTTTTGAAGCCAGACTGATCTAACCTTGAATCGTAAGGTCCGTCACTTACTTGGCAGTGTCACTTCAGAAAGTTATTTAGTCTTCCCTTTAAACCGCAGTTTCCTCATTTATAAAATGGGATCCAAAGAGTAAAGTGCTTAGCACAATCACAAAAAGTAGTACTCAATAAATGGTAGTCATTTTCATGGATTTGGTTTTTTCTTCAAGTTGACATTATATGTTTCATCAAGTTTTCCTAACAAAAATCCCATTCATTTCCACATATGGCACTCTCTCAGCCTAATCTTTAGGCAAAATTGCCCCTTATATCAATTCCCAGACTGTGAAAGGCTGTCAAAAGTATAGTGGCAATCCCAGTAAAACATAATAGTTACTGTCCTTTTAGATGCCCTAATCTATACTGAGATAGCTGGACTTATTAACTTTAAGAAGACAACTCTAATGGGGAAGGGGAAGTCAAGTCTACAATGCAAGGAGTTGCTTCATTAGTTACTATTTCAAAGAAGCTATTTTATCTTGGCAAAGTAGAACCAGTCAGAAGTGCCAGGCATTCTTTGAATCTACTGGAAGTAGTCCCTTATTCAGTCCACTTCCCCATGTCAGTGGACACTGGTTATTTATACTAAAAATAACATTCCTCTTTCCTAGCTCCTTTTCTCTGTAATTTACCTCTGCAATATGCCCCAAATGTTTCCTCGTTTCTATATTCACTATGCCATCATGCAAGTTTAATTGCTCATTATTTACAAACTGGAATATTCCATCAGTCAGTTGGCCCCATCTGGAATGATACCACCAGGTGACAGAAGCATTGTAGATAGGAAAAACTATGATCAACAAAGGCATTACTAGGATATGTCAAAGTGTGACTGGAGAAGTTGGAAAAACCGTGCTATAGGTTTAAACTGGCATGTTGGCTGAATTTACTTCATAATGACTATTATCTATAATAATAAAAGGATAATATGCTAATTAAACCAGATGTCCTTCCTTCCGGACAAAGCCACAGTGGGTGGGGGCTGAGGCAGAGGTGGCAGGGCTGGGATCAAGGTCCTTGCACGAATTTCGTGCATCGGGCCTCTAGTGACATACAATGATTTAGCCTTTGAGCTAAGAATAAAGGGTTTCTAAGGAAATAAAGAATACAGACAGAAATTGCTAGTTTTTTCCCCAAAAGTCTTCTTTAAAATCCAACGATGTATAAAATTTATACTGTAGATAATTTAGAAATTTTGGCTTAATGATGTTTTTATATATTCCAATATAACTAATTAAAATCATATTCCTTAATGATTTGTGAAATGATATGGCTCTGCCATGTTGAAGCAGCAATTTCAACTTCCTGCACTCCAACTTTTGCTTGTACATATAAGGCCAGACACACAAGAGCCATTCAGTAAATGTTGGATTCTCCCACAAAACTTATGTAACATCACCATTTGATCAGTATGAAGAGAAAGCTGGAGAGAAACAAATCACCAGTCTTTATAATAAACCAAATAATTTAGTAGGTCTCTTCCTGTAAACTGAAAACCAGCCTCCCTCTAACATCAGTTGGATAATGTCCTAGGTCTGTGGTCGGCAAACCACAGCTCGCGAGCCACATGCGGCTCTTTGGCCCCTTGAGTGTGGCTCTTCCACAAAATACCAGTGCGGGCGCACGGGTACAGTGCGATTGAAACTTCGTGGCCCGTGCACAGAAGTCGGTGTTTTGTGGAAGAGCCACACTCAAGGGGCCAAAGAGCCGCATGTGGCTCTCGAGCCACGGTTTGCCAAGCCGCAGTTTGCCGACCACTGTCCTAGGTGGTTACAGACTCATTCGTGCCCAAATAGATACTTGTCTTGCCAACACAGTTTTTAAATGTTTACAACCTATTTGAAAAATTGTTCATATACGAAACAATTAGAGAACATTTTAAAGCCATACTCAGTGCAATAGAGTTAATTCTCAGATCACTGAGAGGCAGGTTAGCTAGGTAGCAAGGTCTTGAAACCAAACACAGAACCAAATAAAACACGACAGATTAGGGCATCTGGGGAGCTAAAAAGGCAGCATGAAAATGGACACAAAACACTAGAAGGGATAAATGAGAGACAAAAGAGCAATATCTGGATTTCATCCTATAATGAACAGAAAGCCCCTGTCCCTAAAAATGTGATAAAAATGCTATTTGAGAAAAATTAATCTGACAACATCTGTAAGCGTTAGAGTAATCTGAGGGAATCAGAAGCCAGTTTGGTAACAAGTGAAGTCCAGCAAGGGGTAGGCAATTTTTTTTCTGTGAAAGGCCAGAGAGTAAGTATTTTAGGCGTTAAATTCCATATGGTCTCTGTCACAACTCCTTACTTCTGTTATTACAGCGTGAAAGCAGCTAAATGACTGAGTATGGCTGCATTTCAATAAAATTTTATTTACAAAAGCTGGCAGCCTATGGCCCATGGCTATAGGCTGTAGTGTATATTCATGAATACCTGGTCTAAACTGGGGTGGGGAGGGGCAACAACAAAATTTAGCTATTTTGTTTACTATGAAATGGAAACAAAGGTAACTTCAAAACTGGATAAATAGTGGTGCTACTGATAGAAACTGACAACTCTGTTTAAAAACATGATGAGTTAGTGGTCTTCAGGGGCTGGGTAATTAGTGACTGCTAATGGGTATGAAGTGTCTTTTCAGTGTGATAAAAATGTCTGGAATGAGATGGTGATTCTTGTACAATTCTGTGAATATACTTAAAATCACTGAATTTTATGTGAATTATACCCCAATTTTTAAAAGGCAGTGGAAAAACATGCTAAGCATGAAGTGAGGCAGAAGATCCAAGGTAAGGTTTGTACCATTTAGCAATGAGATACATAATGCTAGCATGTGTTAGTTCTAACAGTAAGGGAAGCAAATGATGGTTTAGAGACAAGGAGATGCTGAAATAAAGGAGCTCTCCAAAGGATAATACAAAAGTAATGGCTTAAGGAATGAGAAGAAACTAGATAGAAAAGGAATGGTAGAAAAAGACACAGGCATGACGAGAAAACATACCAGACAAATATAAACATACTATTGGAAAGAAAGGTATTTTTAACATCAGATAGCATAAAATGTAAGCAATAAAGAAAATATAGCTCTCACCAATTCTAACCATGTTAAAAAGATATAGCTTCCATTAAAGTAAAATTAGACAACCAGCACCTACTTCTAATAAATATTACTACTAAGTAGGAGAGTTAGGCTAATGACATAGAAACCCAGTTTTTTATACCATGAGCCTATGAAATGACCTCTAGAAAATCTCAAAAGCAGGTGCTTTGGGTACAGCTTTCAGCAAACATTTGCAATTATCTTTAAGCAGTAAAAAAATGCATGCCTGTAACCCTACAGATACGTGAATGAAGTCTCAGTACAATTGTTTACAGTGTTGCCAAAGTTTGCCTTGCTTTACAGACATCTCACCTGAATGGGTGGCCTTCATCTGATTTCTGGATAGCTTGGATCACACCCTTGTATATCCTAAAGCTGATAGTCACAGAGAGCAGGGCCAAGGCAATGTAAGCCGTTACGCTCACAATGCTGAATACTGTCAATGAAAGTAGCAGGAATAAGCTGGCACCAAACACCACTCCAGTCTTCTTAATGTCTCTCCAGTACAGGAGGTCGACAACTACAAATAAAAAGAGAAGAAATCGAAATTAGAACATCATTTTAACCATTTAGATTTGGCACATTTGTATTTGCTCCACCCCTCCTCTTCACCCCCTTCCCCCGCCAAAAAAAAGGTCTCTAGGGAAAGTCAAAACCTAAAATGTTAAAGATTAACTTCATACACTACGTTGTATATTAAAATAATACCTGCATCTATTTCTATTTACTATAAAATGTTTCTAATGCAAATCTATGTCCTACATTCTAAATCATTCTGGCTATAAAAGTTTATCAAATCTCCCAAGCCCAGCATAGCAGACTTCTAATCCAAAACAACTTTTCTTGAAAATTCATCTTGAGGTTTTCATCTTCATTCAATGCATGATATATATTCAAATAATAAAAGAATGTTTTAGCATACACTCACAAAAATGAGATACTTCAGTGACACAAAAATATATTTATCTACAGAAAACGACTAATTCAAAAAAATGTTGAGAAACTGAAAGCTACTAGAAACTACACATATGAGTTTTACAGCTCTGCTTTTAAGAGATTGCTCTTTAAGAAACTTAACAAAATTGTAATGTAATCTGGCTATCGTTAAAACAAAAATGTCCTACGAAGCTTAAGAAAAAAAAAAAACACCTTAAGATTACCTGAAAAGCTACTTCCCTCTAGGAGTAGATATGTATATAATGCCACAAAAATTTAGGTGTCAAAGAAAAAAAAAGAACTAAACATGTCCCACTGTTATATAACGTTTATTAATAGTAAGGAGTCAAAGCCTAACTTAGCAATTTTGCTCTTGGCCTATGGCCACAGGGCCACTATGGAGATCAAATACCCATAGGCCTATGGTCTCAAGATGGGGTTATGTACAACCCAGGGAGAATTCTGCAGTGTGCCAAGAGCTCTTGAATTCACATGCAAAACACAATTCATCTCTCTCTGCATTGTACACAGTTGGGGAGGGGGAAGAACACTCTTATAGTAACCTTCAATATCACCACTATTGGTGACTAGTTAAATGCAATATCATCACTATTCCTTACATCATTAAAATCTACTCAGTAAAACCTGATTATGAGATTAAATGACTTTAGACTTGAGAGGTATACACAACATATATTAAAGTCTAACCAAATTGCCCAATATAAGAGTTTTTGTCCCAACAGTTTCATTGACTAGATAAGAATTATTTATAGTAAGAATATACTGCCTGCTAGCTTAATAAATATTTAGATCTATACAATAGTTAAAATTCTAACAGTTCATAATTCTGGTGCTTTGGTGTGAGTCAAGTCAATTTCCCTAACGTTGCTGATACAGGAATAATCATGTATATAGTCCAGCATTATGCAGTGATTAAAGCCTAAAATAAATTTAATTGCATGAAAGTACAGCAAACCCTAACCTACTTCTTCCTTTCCATCTATCATATGGGTTTCTAGAAATAAGGTCTTTTCAATCAGTGAGAGAGCTGTGGTAAACACATAAGCAAGCCCACACATATTGTGTGAAAACAGCTACATGAGAGGAATCAAAGCAAATACCCTGAGAGCCTTGGTGACACAAGTCCCGGGGTGGCCAAGTTAAGCTGCAAAAGTTAGAGCACTGAGAAGGAAAAGAGGGGAGAACAGCTAAGAGAGATGAGACAACTGGGCCTGATAGTTGCACAGAAGACAAAATTAATACGACCTACGAAAGAAAGGTCTGAGAGGCAATCTCTGCTGTTACAAAGTCACAGAAGGGTTTCAATCTTTTTTTTTTATTTTGCAAAGGAATTTAAGAGCTTATCACTGATGCTGCAAGGATGAAAAAGTATTAGTTTCTAGCAAACAGAACTGCAGCCTTAAAATTAAAGAAGACTTAAATGAAAAGACATCCCATGTTTATGGATTAGAAAACATTGTTATTAAGATAGTAATGCTATTCAAACTGATCTACACTGTAATCTTTATCAAAATCCTAAGCAGCTTTTTAGCAGAAATTGGCAAGCCAATTGTAGAAATCACCTGGAAATGCAGGGTGTCCAGAATAGCCAAAAAAATCTTGAAAAAGAACCAATTTGGAGAACACTTCCCTTTTTCAAAACTTCCTACAAACCTACAGTAATCAAGACAATGCAGTAGTTGCACAAGGATGGAGAGAGATCAGTGGAATAAATTAAGAGTCCAAAATAAACCCTTACTTTTATAGTCAACTTGATTTCAACAAGGTGTCAAGACAATTCAATGAGGAAAATAAGTTTCTTTCAACAAATGGTGCTGGAAGAATAAAATTGGACCCTTACCTTACATCATATATAAAAAAATGGATCAAAGACCTAAAAAGCTTAAACTATAAAACTCTTGGAAGAAAAAAAAATAGGTACAAATCTTCATGACTTTGGATGGGAGAGTAAAATTCCACCACTGTGAAAAACAGTTTGGCAATTGCTCAAAAAGTTAAAACACAGAGTTACAATATGACCCAGCAATTCCACTTCTAGGAATTTCTACCCAAAAGACTAGAAAACCTATGTCCACACACAAACTTGTACATGAATGTTTATAGCAGCACTATTCATCATAATCAAAAAGAAGAAACACCCAAATATCCATCAACTGATGAATGGATAAACAAAATATGGTGCCCTGGCCAGTGAGACTCAGTTGGTTGGAGCATCATCCCATGCACCGGAAGGTCATGTTTGATTCCCAGTCAGGGCACATCCCCAAGTGTGGGTTCGTGTACAGGAGGCAATTGATTGATGTTTCTCTCTCACATCAATGTTTTTCTCTGTCTCTGTCTCCCTTCCTCTCTCTGAAATGAAAAGAAAAAAAAAATCCTTGGGTGAGGAATATATATATAGTATATCCACACAATGAAATATAATTGGGCCAGGAAAAAAACAAGTGAAGTACTGATACCTACTACAAAAAGTTTGAAAACATTCTGCTAAGTGAAAGAAGCCAGACACCAAAGGTCACACAGTTGTGTAAGTCTGTTTATATGGCATGTCTGGAGTTGGCAATTCTATAGCGACTGAAAGTAGCTTCGTGGTTGCCAGGAACTGGAAGGAGTGGAGATGGGGAATGACTGCTAAAGGAGGCTGGAAGGATGATGAAAATGTTCTGAAATTAGATAATGGTGATGGTTGCACAATTTTGTGGCCATACTAAAAATCAACGAATTATATACTTAAAAAAACTAAAAAGTAAACTAAAAAATTTACTTGTTTTAACATCTTTTTGTCTGCTAGGTTTAAACTCTACAAGAAAGCATGTTGTCTTATCTACCGTATCTTGGAGCTGAGTACAAAGCTTGAACCAACCAGACTTTCAATAAATAGTACTGACTGACTGATTACAATGAATGCATACTTTATGCCAATTTAAGGCATGCACTAATTCTAATTAATTTATTCAAAAATGCTTCTATGTTTTGGATTTAACGTTTGTTTTAAACTATTTTTAGATATCTACATTTACAAAATAACAAATAGCAATGCTTTCAGATAATTTACAGCAAATTTTGTTTTATGGGCTTGTATCTCCTTGTAGATTCTGAAGGACTGATGAGTGCCTTTCATCTTTATATTGTCATTATCTGCTTCAATAATATTTGCTGTCAGAATGGTATGTAAATAATGGCCAGATTATTCTTAGAAATAAAAACATTTTAATTAAAGACTATAATATTTTCAAATTAAAATAATGGACATCTTTAAATAAAGAAACTGTTGGGTCACTAAAATGCTAACTTTGGGATCCTCTGTAATCCCTTTACTAGTTCTGTTTATGAATGAAGAGTTTAATGGCCTCTTTATTCTTGAGAAACCAAAATTAAGATACAGGGCTTGTAAAAGGATAGCATAACCTTTCATGGTTCCTCAGGTCTCCTGTACTGCAGAATAAGCATTAATCATGCACAGTAACCTAATGCTACTTTACTTTTATATAAAATGCTCATGAAATATACTTTTAAAGATCTAAGATTAATTTAGCAATAGTCTTTCCTCTTAACAGCTGTGGGCAATACTTACGAATTACTAAAATAATGCTGAGCAATTAAATTTTTGTCATTTAGAAAAAAGTGATTGTCTACTCATTTTCAAAATGTGAATAATATTTTTGTGATGTGCCATGCACAGAGCTGTACCATCTTTTTTTTAATATATATTTTATTGATTTTTTTTACAGAGAGGAAGGGAGAGGGATAGAGAGTTAGAAACACTGATAAGCGAGAAGCATCATCAGCTGCCTCCTGCACACTTCCTACTGGGGATGTGCCTGCAACCAAGGTACATGCCCTTGACTGGAATCGAACCTGGGACCCTTGAGTCCGCAGGCCAACGCTCTATCCACTGAGCCAAACAGGTTAGGGCTGTACCATCTTTTACCAACTAAAATTTTAATTTAAAATAATTGAGTGCACTGCAATCCTTCCTTCAAAATAAAAACTTCTGGCCCAGCAAAGAGTTAGAAAAGTTGTCTACATCTGGTAATCATAAACTATCATCTGTCATAGCTAAAAATAGTGCTAGTACATGCAGAAGTCATCCAATTACATTTTGCCTCAAATCAAATTCTTACTGAATCTCTTTCCTTGAATAGCCTGAAGTCAGGTTTCAACTTTAAAATCTTTTGTCTATCGGGAGAAAAAGTTGAACTAGTAGCTGGTCACAATAATACTGGGAAGGAATGGTTCTAGAAAAATACCTACCTCTTAAACAAAAGCAAATATTAAGTTCTCTTTAACAGAGTCAGGTGAACAATGAGTAAGGCAGTTAAATAGGAAAATTAATAAACAAATATTAAAATTAGAATATTAAAATGTTAGTTGCTATTTTTCACAATCATAATCTTAATAATAAATAATTATGTATTAATTAGAAATCACAATCCTTAATCAAATTCTTCTCAACTGCTAAGAAAAGTGACAAAAATTCAGAGTCAATCATTTAGCACTACATAGTAAGCTTTTACTTCCACATAGTAAGCATTCACTTGGCTAATAAATAACAGGTGATGG